CAATGTCCAAAAACTATTCTGTGCTTCAAAATTGGTTTCCTTGAATAATTCTCTTTTATGCAGACACACATGCATTTTTATGTGAAGTCATAAATATCATATCACAGAATTTAATGTAAGGAAGATTTGTTCCTTCTCTCCTATTTATTTATTTAGTCATTTATTTATATCATTATAGACTCACAGATATTCATTTTATTCTTTGGGTTATAATCTAATACTGTCATTAATTTTTATTGCTTAAATTAGTCCAACTTTGACCATTGAGAGTTCTTTCAGATCAGTCCTTCTGTCCTTCTCACATGACATAGACTTCTCATGTGCCTATCCTTTTTTCTTTCCCTTTCTTACTTTTCATTACTGTAAGATGATTCAGGTTCATCTTGTATTTACCCTGTCCCAATCCTAGAATTAGCCATTTCTCAAAGAGTTAGGTTTTTAATATGAGTCATTGGGTAAATGGTGATGTCATTTACTAAAATGGGTAAGACTGAAGTAAGAGGAGGAAGCCTGAGATTTGTTATCTTTCTCTCTTTCTTTCTCTCTCTTTCTTTCTTTCTTTCTTTCTCTTCCTTCCTTCCATCTTTCTTTCATTTTTTAATTATTTTTTGACATGTTAAAATTTGAAAAGCCTATTAGCCATTTAAGTGGAGCTGTAGATTAGAGTAGGCAGTATGTATAAAAATCTAAAATTCTGAGAAGAGGTTCAGGCTACATATCTAAATTTGAGAATCACAAATAAATGGTGGTATTTAAAGACATAGGACCAGATCTGCTTTCTTAGGAAAGAGTCAGATAGAAAAGTCTCAGACCTCAATCCATGAGAGGATTTAGAGGTTAGGAAGAATGGAAGAAATCAGGCAGGAAGGTTGAGGAAGGGCAGTAAATGAGGTAGGAGAAAACCCTACTCTGTGCATGGTATGTTGCAAGCCAGGTAAAGAAATAGCTCAAGACTGAACTGAAAATCTGAGTCAAAATCTCTTGAGATATTGAAGATAAGGACTGAAAATTTACCATTGGATTTGGTAATATTCAAATTCACTGATGACCTTGATAAATGCTATTTCAGTGGAACTGTGGACCAGTTCCACAGTCTAATTTTGGGGAGTTCAATATAGAATTACATCTGAGAAATGGAGAATACCTTCTCTTGGGAAGTTGCTACAAAACGGAGTGGAGAAATAAAGTGATAGTGAGATGGGGAAATGATAGAAAGGGAATTTATTTTTAAGTTTGGAGATATTACAACATATTTGCAGACAAAGGGAATAATAGAGTAAAATAGGAGAGAAATGATGATGCAGAAGAAAGAGGGGATCGTTAAAGTAGCAAAGACCTAGAATTGGTGAGAGGAAATTAGAATCCAAAGCTTAAGAGAAGGAGATGACCTTAGGTGGGAGAAAGAACAGTTTCTCCATCATAACAGGATTGAAGGCTGACTCTATGGGTACAAATATCAAGAGTACATGGAATATAGTACGAAGAAGGAAAGAAGTTCCAGGCCCTGGAGTTCTATCAATTTTCTTAGAAGCAATATCATAAACCGAGATGGAAAAGATGGGAAGAAATGTTGGACAGTTGAAAAGAAGTAAAGGTGCCTTTTCATGGTATCATAGAGTTGAATTATGAATTAATAAGGGAAATGTGATATTAGATTGTCAGGCACGACTACTGGGGACCCACTTGCAATAGCCTACATTTTCTCTAGTCATTATCATCCGTTCAGCTACTAGAGGCAGGTTCATAGTAGGAAGAGAGTTGAGTTTAACTAGCTGATTTTTTTTTTTTTGTCACATTGATTTGAAAAAGAGAGAAAAAGTCCTTCATGGTGAGTGTATATGTGAAGAAGAGATTACAATGATGAATAACGGACCCTAAATTCAGTAAGTGGGGAAATGTGAACATGAGTGGGACAACAGAAAAATGTGTAGAGGTCAAGAAAATTTTGTTGATGAAGTGTACGGTTTATCGGAGACTTTTCATCACAAAGATTCTTGAAGGCTTCCCCATACCCTACTGATACATTGCTCTTGCGATGGTAGAATCTGAAACATCTTTTCAATCTCTTTTATGATAATCTGTCTAGTCAGGTTTGCACCTTTCCTTGGGTCAGTCTTGCTAATTTACAGTTTTCTGGGAAATTATCTACTCCTTTAGGTTTTTTAAATTTTTACCTAAATTTTCACCCAAATTTTCTTATAGTTCTTCCAAATTCCTAGTAATTATAGTTATGTCTTTTCCCATGTCTTTAAATAGAGATCTATCTGAACTCTTTCAGAGAATTGTTTGCACACTTTGGAGCACAGCTGATTGAGTGGAAAAATCCCATGGTGACCACCTGATATGTAAATAGTCTAACTAGGACTGATTTAATTTCTTTTGATAACTCTTGTCCCCACTTTTACTGAAATAGAATGACTAAGTGCTATCATCATTTTAGAAACTTTTTTGGTCATGTGATACTCTTCATTATAGTTCAACACATATTAGGAAAAAATGGAAATTAATTATTTTGTTGTTTGTTAAAGAGTGGATTAAGGGCTGCATATATTTTGATAACCGCACTTTATCAGGTGTATGAAGGTACAAAATTGAAGTGGTATTGTTACTTAAGAAATCATTCTAAATAGAATCAATGTGATTGTCAGTGGCGTTTTCTTCTCTTAAAAAAAATAGGGCCAGGGCTTCCCTGGTGGCGCAGTGGTTGGGAGTCCGCCTGCCAGTGCAGGGGACACTGGTTTGTGCCCTGGTCCGGGAGGATCCCACGTGCCGCGGAGCGGCTGGGCCCGTGAGCCGTGGCCGCTGAGCCTGCGCATCCGGATCCTGTGCTCCGCAGCGGGAGAGGCCACAGCAGTGAGAGGCCCACGTACCGCAAAAAAAAAAAACCTCTAAAAAAAAAATAGGGCCAAACTGTACATGGCAGATTGGTCTTTCCTGCTAGATTCCTTTGCCCTAGGCCCTTTGCTTCTGTCAGGAAGTTGTCCTTCAGAGTGAAAGATGCTTTTGCTGGTTGCAGGCATATTAATTATGCAATTCTGTATTTTGAGATGCAATTGCAAATATAACTAAACTATTGCCCTGAACATACAAGTCGTATTATCGCCTTAGAAAACCTGAACAGCTAATTCACATTTCTTCATTTGTGTCCATAGACTATTTCCTTTTGACATACTGAAACTGTGAGATGAAGCAGGCTTCCAGACTTGCAGAAGTGATCAGCTTGGGGGTCTCAAACTCCCTGATCCTTGGAGGAACAAGTGTATTCTCAAAATCCCCACATTTGCAAGAAAGTTATTTTTTTAGAGATGGCAACAGTTAAGAGTGTTTTAAACAAGTTAAAATTCGTTATATCTAACCACTGAATCATCCACTATAAACAACACAAGCTGATCTTATAGCTCAGTCAAGGCCACCACTGAGATGTGACCTTCAATGACCTCAGCGAAGTCTAGCATGGCTATTGATTAAAACATGCCAGCAAGAGTTTGTGCCTCATTGACCTGCTAAAGGTGCCCTTTAGAGAAAATGTTGACAAACACAGGAGAGAGCCTTGACCCTCACTTGCCACTCTGAATGGCTGCTGGGATTTGTAAGTTGATTTGCAGTAATGTACGTGGGCAACCGGGAAGCCATAGGGCCTGGAACTAGGAGAGGTGGTGTTCACCTTTCCCTCCAGCCCTGTGACTTTGCAGAAATTTCTAAAAGTGAAAACTGGTTCTCAGGGAATTTCTCAATTGAACCCCAGGTATTAGTAAAGACTAGATATAAACCATAAGTGTTAGGTGCACATTTTAAAATGATAATATAGGTTTATGTCAATTTTGTTTTTCACAGAACTCATAATCGGAAACTGAGGTTCTTTAGATGAGCACAACAGAAGATTTGTGAGGACAAATGATGTTACATTTACATTAGTATACATATTCCAAGTCTTCCATAAATGTCACCCTCCTTGAATATTTTTCATAGTACCTGAGATAGTTATATGTGTCCACAAATCAGTCCCAGATGTCACTTGTCACTGCTAAGGCCACCCATGGGACTGCAATCCCACTCAAATAGTGGTGTTGTGAGTACTGCAGGTATTCTAGTTTGTTCTGCCAAGTAACCGTGTGTATCTGTATAGACACACATAAAGTTTAAATGGAGAAAGAAGCTCCTGGAGACACAATTGTCCTGAGACAATTTTTTTCTTAGGGATTTTTGATGTTTTAAGCTTGTTTGAATGCCATCAGCGTAAATTGTTTGCTCAGTCTATTTCTTCATTCAATAACCCATTTACAGTATTTCTACATTAGCTATTGTTATTGGCTATGATCAGTAATAGTTCATTTCTGGCTATTGTGGAAACACAATAAATGAACCACACTTCACAAGTTTCTCTACATCATGTTTAAGGAAAATTGTTACACTTGTATATGGACATAATGATTTATCTTAACATATTAGAATGGAAAGTTTATTAATCTTTAGGAAAAGTAATTATATATATTTTAGTCTGGGGAAATAAAAGCACATAATTACTGCCAGGATTTTATCATCTCTTTAAATTATTGCACTAATCATAATAAATATTCATTGTGATTTTCATCAACTATCTAGCTACAATATTTTGATTTTCCTGTTTATTTTTGTGTCTTGAAGATACGAATCTCCTGGAGACTAGAAAGTTATTTAAATCTAGTGTAATGCTGATTGATAAGATAAAATGCCTTTAATTTCTTATCCATAGTAACAGTTGTTGATTGAATAACAGGTAAATAAATGAATGAACATGTATGAATGATTAGAAATTTACTACATTTTTCTAAGATGAATGTTCTTTCTGCACTAATTTATATACAGTACAATCATTCAGTTCTAAATTTAATGCCTTATTTATATTCCAAGATTCCTATTGATTTTCCTCTGTGTCACATTATATTTACACCCTGTCATCAGCTTTACTCTTTGAAAATACAACGTTATGTAACATATTGAAACATATTTTCTTTTATAAGGAAAAAATAAGGAGATATCAACAGACTGAAAAGATGTTTTCAGAGGCATAGATTCTTCAGGAAGATACTGGCGTTCATAAGATCTCAAGGTTAGCATACATTATTATTTTCATGCTTTTACAGATCTGAGATATAACTGTGTCACTGCTCCGTGTTGTTATTGCTAATGTGTAATTGGATAATAAGGAAAAATGCTCTTATATAAAATATATATTTTTTAAAAGATCTTTTCAAAATTTTTAGAAATTCATTTATACCAGAAATGTATTATTTCATTCAATTGGGATGGTTACAAGAAAATATTGTTTTAGTAGAGAATCCATTGGTTATTAAAATTTTCTTCTTTTTTTAAAGGGTAACACTGTTAGCATAAAAATAAATGTTAGGCATTCCTATAAAATTTTATTTTTGATTTCTTAAGGAATGTACACCTATTTAGCAAATTTTTTCTTTCTTTTGTATCTTTGGTTACAACATACACACATATATACATATAGTTTAGAAGGATAACTGATCAGCAATCCTTCTAAAATTCTTAGAATCCCACTCCCCAGCTTTCCCAAGTACAGTGAAAGAAATTTTACTCTTGTCGGAAAATGTGACCTCAATAAAATGACAGTTGATATGAATGAACAAAAGGATATTTGAGAAACTTTTCTAAGTTGTTAGACTCATATGTCTAGAAAAGAAAAGCAAAATAAGCCTACTCTCATTAAACAGCTTTTTATAATAGTAAACAAATGTAAAATATTCATTTGGAAGTTTGAGTTACAACGTAGGTTAAAATGGCTCATTCAAATGGGATAGCTTGAGAAAGTGAATGATTTCTGACTTCTTTATATTGTGGGACCCAATATCAAATATTCATGATTTTAAATGAAATGTATTAATGATTCTTATTTATTTATTTTTATTTGTTTTGTGTGTTTATTTATTTATCTTTATTGACATAACATTGGTTTATAACATTATGTAAGATGCATGTGTATAACATTATGTAAGATGCATGTGTACATTATATTTCTGCTTCTGTGTACAACACAGCATGCTCACCATAAAAAATTTAGTTTCTGTCTGTTACCATAGAGTTGACCTTCCTTACCCATTCCCCACGCCTCCACCGCCTCCCAGCCCCTTCCTCTCTGGTAACCACTACTCTGTTCTCTGTAATGATCGTTTTATTTTTATTGCCTTGGTCAGGCTTGCCTTCAATATCTACTTGTTTTCCTCACTCATCCAAGGATATATTCATTCAAAATTTATTTAGGACTTACCATATGCAAGACAATGGCTGAGTGCTGCTTTGGTTGTTTCAAAATGAATAAGATATGGTTCTTGTTCTCGAGAATTGCCGAACCAATATGTTACTCGGAAATTAATTTTATTATTAACCCAAGCAACACATAATTAAAAAGACAGGCTAGATTTAAAAGGGCATGTAATGAATTCTAAAGCACAATGGGAATTATTTGGGGATTATTCATATTTTCACATTATGGCTTTTATTAGCCTACAATACTGAGAGTTAATACCAATGGGAATGATGCTCCGTTACAACCCACACTCAAATGACCTTTTATTAAAGTAGCTCTTCAAGTACACCACAAGTAAGTAATATGAGATTCTAAGAAAGAAAAGTCTCTTTTTTGCCACAACTGCAAATTTAATGTTGTAGAAAATAGTTATGCAAACACATGAAAAGAACAAAGGTGAGCATTGCCTACTTGGTTTTTCTTATTCCTGTACAGGCAACTTTATTAAGCTCACCAGAGAATTAAATCATTTCCCCAATGACCTAGAAAGGCAAGTAGATTTGCAATGCTTGTAATGTAGGTTTGAATGATATAAACCCCTAAGGAATCCATATGCAAATAGCTGGATAAGTAAAGAGATTTTCAGTGGAGTGGGAGTCCAAACTCTGTTGGAAATGGAATCGCATAGCACTCTGCTTCTCACAAAGAGCTTTTAGAAAGGTCTTATCTTAAGAAGTTAAAGCAAGTCAAGTAATTAAAAATAGTAAACATCTTTTTGAAAAGTCAGTGAAGACACCCCTTTCTTAATGATTCCATTGAAGTAGTTAAATTAATTTATATAAGAACTACAATCATTCAACAAATATTTATCAATTGCCTGCTATGTGCATGGGGGCAACAGCAGTGAATAAAATACACCAATATCCTTGCCTTAGTGGAAATTACATTCTAAAGGGTGGAAATATATAATCAATAAAAAACAAAGTTAATTATATGTTACATTAGATGGTGATGGTGCTATGGAGAAAAAGAAAACAGGTAAAGAACATAGAAAGTAAGGAGGGGTAGAATTTTTAAAGCGCCTAATAACCTAGTACTACATAATTTGTACAAAGGAGATAGATGTCACTTTACCCCACATCGTGCCAACTAAAAGCAAGTATAGTGAAATACAGCATCTGATGGTAAGTTTTCTAAATCATCATTTGCTAAGGTAAATATCATTTTAATGTACGTAAAATAACTAGTATGTATCTCAGTTTCGCTGGAAAGAAAAGACTTTTTAAAATGATAATACATTTACTACATGTACATGAAATACTGTCAAAGTGTTTGCAATAAAGAAATATACAGGGCTTCCCTGGTGGTGCAGTGGTTGGGAGTCCGCCTGCCGATGCAGGGGACACGGGTTTGTGCCCTGGTCCGGGAGGATCCCACGTGCCGCGGAGCGGCTGGGCCCGTGAGCCATGGCCGCTGAGCCTGCGCGTCCGGAGCCTGTGCTCCCCAGCGGGAGAGGCCACAGCAGTGAGAGGCCCGCCTACTGCAAAAAAAAAAAAAAAAAAAAAAAAGAAATATACAACTGAACGTGGATTCATCCATTCACTTACTAAAGGTTAAAGACTATAACTATCCATCTGTGTATGGGGGAAAATCAATCCATTTTTTAGAATTGAATAAATATTATAAACCTAATAGTAAAAGATCTCTATGGCAATACATATAGATGATTCATGGTGCTAGAAGACTCTATATAATTTTTTTATTGTTCTATCATCAGTCTTATTATCATTTTAGGAGAGTACTGAGTACTGGGATTGAAGACAGAAGGAAATTATTTAAACACCACCTCATTCACGTAGAACACTAATTTTTAAAAAACATATGTGTTTCGTTGTACATTTGATTTATTAGAAGAAGTGTGGAGATTTGGAAATTAAAATAGATCAATCTATTTGTGATCTTCAACAAATGAGTCATCAGGTTTCTTTTGATGGTAATCTGGTTGGAATTTTTCTGTGAAACATTAGGTGCTGAGCACAAGATTCTGGAGTTGTTTACAGGCCAGATAACCCTGCCCATTTTTTGGAGTCTGCACTATAGATGAACTCATCACATAAATTGACATTATCTTAAAAGCCATTCAGTCTTGACTTTACTGGATAAAATTGAAAAGTTTAGCCAACTTGAAGTGCAGAAAAGTAGTTAAATCAGTTTTTTCGTTGTTAATAAGTCAATGTGAAAGGAATATCTAGCCATCCAAAAGAACAAAATTTAGATTAAGAGGTTTCAAAACCTATTAAGTATTACAATTTCTTTAATCTTCCAAAAGACAGGTATTATAAATAGTATTATCATCTAAAGGAAATAAATGGCCAGTATTGAAGTAGTAAAAGAAGTACAAAGTAAAGGTCACGATTGTTTAGAAGACTATCTTAATTAAACCAAGGCAGTGGGTATATATAACATGCTGTATTGTAGACAGAAGAGATGGTCAGCTCTGTGAAGCTGACCAAATAGGGGCAACCAGCACAACAGTATTGTCTGTTTTGGGAAAACCCAAAGAAAAGAAAAAATAAGAGTTGCAGAGGACTAGTGGAAGATTATGGGAAAAACAAAGACTTCTTATTAATGTCACTGTGTCAGAGATAGATTCCTCCCAAACCAACATTAATCTTTGTTAGATTTATCTAGAGACTTTGAAAGAAAGAACTAGAAACACTTGTTTAAGGGTAACTAAAACATGACTTTTCAAAAGCAAGTAGAAAATAGCAAATGCTTTCCCTTAAATTTGCTCGCTTTCATCTTCCGTATATGTGCTTTACAAAAGTTAAACCCAGGAATATTTTGCAGATTTGTACCACAAATCCAGTTCCCCATGGACTCTTCCAAATGACTCTTGCATCCTGTCACAAACCACCACACACAAATGTACATCTGTGAATCTCACATCACCTGGCATGCCCATGTTCTGGGTTGTTCCTCCCGCTCTACCTTTCTTCAGTGGTTCTCCAAATGACTTCCTACCATTCTCCTTTTCCATCATTCTTATAAATGATCTGTCTAATCCAGGTTTCTCAACCTCAGCACTACTGACACTTTGATGGCATAATTTTTTGTTGAGGGGGCTGTCCTGTGCACTGTAGGATGTTTAGCAGCCTCCCGGGCAGTAGTCGCCAGTAGTACTCCACCCCACAAGTTGTGAAAACCAAAAAGGTCTCCAGACATTGCCCAATGTCCCTTTGTCTCATCCCCAGATGAGAACCACTGATCAAATCCTAACCGTCACAACCTCAATAAGCATCCACTCCATATCAACAACCTCCCAACCACCTACAGCATCTTGTTCTCCACTAAAACTCAACTGAGACCCTTTAAATTCCAGCCCCCTTTGTTAAAGTGAAACTCACTTCTGACCATCTGTATTTGTTTTTAGTTCCCTTTTATTTGCTTATACCTGGCCTTGTATCTAAAATGTGTCTAACGGAATGAGTGAGAAAATTAGGGAAAAGGAAAAATAAGGTAAAAACATAAGATTGTCAGGAGTTGCAAATGAATAAACCCTTTTCCTCTCACTTTTTTTTTCTTGAATTCATGGATACTTCCATGTCCCCCAAGTCTTACTTGGAATTCGGCTTGGACACCAGCAGCTCACCCTCCACATTTCTTAGTCTGTCTGTTTTACAGTGTACATGCAAACCTGAATCCATAGGGGAAATCTCTTTTCTTACATACAGGCACATGAGTGCTACAGGAGCAAATTATACCACTCTGCAGATAGATGGTTTTCTAATCTGAGTCAGCCCCTCAGTAGCATTCGCTAATCCTTTCACTCTGAC